ACACACACACACACACACACACACACACACACACACACACACACACACACATACACACACACACACGTACACACATACATCTGCACACACATCCACACACGAACGCATACATTCATACATACACTCATGCAAACACACACATCCACGTTGACATGTATGCACTCACACATACACACACAAGCACGCACACACACACACACACACCATCACAAAACACTTACTTAACTTAATAATCAATAATAACATCCATGGTCTTCCTGAAACAACTGGCGCGGTAAACACTTCTCGAGAAGCGAGTCTTCTGACAGCTTAGAAGCCTTCGCATGAAAGGTCAAAAGAAACGTACACAGAAACGCTTCGATCTATAGGCGGTCATTCATAATTCCACTCAGCCCCCCGACAATGAAACCGTGAGATTTTGTTACCCTCATAAACTTAAAGACAAGAGACTGATAATTAATGCAAATTATATAAGCGCCTGAGTGCATAGTTATGAGCGAGGCCGTTTTCGTTTACCAGAGAGAGAAAGAGTGTATGTATGTATGTATGTATGTATGTATGTATGTATGTATGTATGTATGTATGTATGGATGGATGGATGGATGGATGGATGGATGGATGGATGGATGGATTTGTTTCTGCACAGAACGTATATTAATGCATCAAACAAAACAACAAAAACGAATTCTCAGCTTACCAACTACCAGCGTCTTTCGTGTAGCACATAGGCGCTTTGCTGTCGCACCAAGAAACCTGGGTTCGATTCCCTCGAGGAGAACATTTTGTTTTTATTGAGTATTGCTGTCTTTTTACTGGAATGTTGTACCCCTCTCAGTCCAGCTTGACCTTACAGGAAGGGTTGTAATCCCCCCCCCCCCCAATGATCTAAATTGTGTTGATAGCAGCGTAAAATACCTGCATTTTTTTTTTTAAAAAGCTTACCAGCCAAAGATACGAACAGACTGTTCAGTTCTGGCTGACTGATGACCCCGTCGTTGTTATCGTCCAAGACCTGGACCAGCATGGCTGTGTTGGCGATGGCAGCTTGGCAGCTCCCTGCGCTGTTGATACGAAACAAACGTTGGTGAGGAAGGTGAAATGGTATGGCGCTACCTTAGACCTTTGAATTACAAAGTCCTCTTCGACATTTTTTTCCGTTATGAATTTTACTAAGACCATAAGGTCAGAAACGAAATGTTCTACACCTTTTCCCGATCGAATATCAAAATAGAAAGCTCAAATGCAGCAATGAAAGTTCAAATATCAAAATAGTCAAATTAATTCAACATAGAGAATTCAAAATCTTTCTTCTACATGGATACAACAACTGATAACAACAAATAACAACTGATAACTACAAAAAAGACAAATGTCGGAGTTGTGCACGTAAAGTTGGGGCCTGGTTGACCACATGAATATCGATCTTTGAGGCTGGAATCAAAGTATTTTTGTGTTATCCGTTGTTATTTGTTGTTTTTCAGTTGTTTTTTGTTGTCATCAGTTATCATTTCTTGTTATTTGTTTTTATCTTTTGTTATTTGTTGTTATCTCGACGAAGATAAATACCCCCCGCAGTCTGATGACTGTTCACGAGTTTGGTAGCATTCGCCAAGTGTCAGAGGTACTTAAAATTACCGAGAAAATGGCTGCCATAGTTTTAATTGTGACTTCCAAAGCTGTAGTGTCTTGGGAAACTATACTTCAAGCTTGTTGTGCCTTTAATCAATATTTAAAAAAAGTAAATTCCAAACAGGATTTTGTTTTAAGAAGAACATCAAAGGTGTCGAGACCAAAACAAAGAATTCAACGATAAGAATATTTCAA